TCCAGACGTCTGGACGTCTATATATATTTGTGTTGGTTTTTTTTATTTGTGCTGATAAATAAATAAATTGGTGCCTTAGATCAGGGGTCCCCAACCTGCAAATATTGGATGCAATCTAGTGCTTTCAATCTTGAGTCAGGTGCTGGAGGTCCATGGCCCCCAAAGGTATTTAAAGGGGCCCATGGTGAAGAAAAAGTGAAAACCACTGCCCTAGATCAACCGGGCCACCAGTATCACTCGAGAATTCAAATGCGGTCGGAGTAGGTTGAGATTATGCCTGTGGCTTCACCATGTCTGCACATGTCTAGGTAGCAGTGGAGAAATTTCATTCCCACATTCCACTACTGGTCTCTTAAGGCAGGAGTGTCAAGCTCAAAGGGCCTGGATCCGGCTTGTGGGGTGATTAGATCTGGCCACGGGGCTGCCCTGGAAAGAGCAAAGGACTGGTCCACGGTACTTCTGCCAGCGAAAATGGAGCTGCAAGAGGCCGTCACAGCCGGAAACGAAGCTTGGAAAGGTTGAATTGCTGCCCACCCACCCCAGCTCCGTTTTCGCTGGCAGAGGGTTGCAGGAGGCTGTCACAGCCAGAAAGGGAGCTTGGGAGTCAGTTTTTGCTGGCAGATCATTCAGGCCACCAAAAGCACCCCCGACATGCGTGCCATTGAGCTGACCATGCCCTCCCCTGGCTATACCACCATCCCCAAGGTCTAACCCAGCCCTGATGCAGCCCTCAATGAAATAGACTTTGACACTCCTGCCTTAAGGTCAGTGGTTGGATGAGGGAAGAGGGACCCAATCTTTGCAACCTAGAGGCCCAGATTGGGGGGGGGAGGGGAATTGGCCCGTGCGAGCCATGTGTGCACACACAGCCCTTGCACAAGTGATAGGTCGGCATGCACGCAGCTCGACTTGCACAAGTGGTGGGCCTGCCATCCCATCACTCGCGCAAGTTGACTACATGTGCACTCACTCCAGCCAACCACTCTCATAGCCCAATTCTGAATAAGCCATGGCCCGCTAGTGGGCTGTGATCCAGGGGTTGGGGACCAGGACATAGGCAAGGGTATTAGGAGGGTAGTTGCTTGGAGGTTCTTAGGAGCAACTGAGGTTCATGGACCCAATCTGTCCAGAGAGTAAGACAGGGCAGTCCTTATTTAATGACGGCCTCATTTCTTGGCCACTCACAGTGACAACAAGTAACTTTGCAAGCAATCATTGCGTTTACCTAAAGAATAGGAAAGCTTAAGTAAGATCATAAGCACCATTGTGGTTTCTTTAGCAATTGCTTCCCTTAATGACCGAATTGTTTGTCTACATTGTGGTCATTCAAACGAGGATGCCCTGCACCGATACGAAGAGCAATAAAATCCCGATCCAACAGACCAGCTCGGAGTTTCTCCGTAACGAAAACAGAGGCACCGTATTACCGATATGGCAGGGAGAGGCCTCCATGAATTCAAGGGCTTGGCGTTAAAAGACACAAAACATGCTTCAGTGCACATGCTCCCAGGAGAGAGAACATGGAGCAGATGGCTTCAGGGAAAGAACCCTCTGGAACATCTGTCTTCTGGCCCGGATTTGCAAAGGGGGAACTGTTGCAATGCAACGGGCCTGAAAGCTTTGCAAACGAGACCGCTGGTAATTCCCATCAGCAAACCCCGATGCACTGGATGCTAAACCCAGTTAGATCACCCCCATGGGTGGCACCATCACAGGCATGGATTTCAGGCAAGTCCCTGCTCAGAAAAAGCAGGCAAATCAAAGCATCATTTAATGAACCGAGGGAGAGAATGGGACAACTCGCCATGGCCAACTTGCCACGGGACAATTTGACCATTCTCTTTTATTTCTTTAAAATAAATTTTTAAAAAACTATTTTGATTTTTGTCGTTGACGTTTCATCCTGTCCCTCCTT